GGACGCGGGACAAAGAAGGAAATATCGGGACTGTCCCGATAAAATCGGGACGTCTGGTCACCCTAGTTGGACTAGTTGACCCCCTGAGGTCTCTTCCAACCCTAATCTTCTATGATTCTATGACTGCAGCGCTCGCAGCCCGGGCTGGCAGCATGCTGCACTGTACAAGGACTTCATATTCGTCCTTTGCATGCTGAGCTGTGAAACAAGCCAGCTTCTCAAGTTGCCAAGTGCCTCCTGCTAGGGTGGAGTGCCCAGTCTCCCTGTGACGGTAATGGGGAGCCGAGCCCCATTTGCAAAGGGCATCATGCTGGCTTAGCAGCTGCCACCTTCTCCTGGCGGGATGGACTGGCATTCACCCATCCTAGATGACAAGCAGCAGAGCCCAGCTCTGCTCTTCTAGTAGGGCAGAGATCCTGAGTGAGATAGCTCAGGGCGTGCATGTCTTTCCCCAAAAGGCAGAACAGTTAAGGACGCAGCTGCGGCTTGCAGAGGATGCCCGCGATGGGGCGCACAAGGACCTGATCGAGTTGCACCGCAGGTTGCGGGAGGCTGAGGAGGCCCGAGAGCTCCAGCGCAAGGAGATGTTGGAAACCCGCAGGGCTTTGGGGGACGAGACCAGGGAGAAGGAAATAATGCAGAAATCCAATACTGAGCTGCGAGCTGCCATCAAGAAGATGGAGAGCAAAAGGACCAGGTAGGCTCAGGGCAGTACCAGGCGGGCTGCACCCTGCAGCAGACATTACTTGGCACTGTGATAGCCTGCCAAGGTGCAGGCATGGCCAGGGACTGTTAGCTGGGCCACAGATCCAAACCAGAAAGTGCAGAACAGTAGCAAAGACCTACCAGCATGTCCACCCAAAGCCATTCCAGCTAAGAACTGGGCACTGTATTCAGGCCTGGGATGTACAAATAGGGCTGGATCCTGCAGCCATTCCAGGCAGGCTCAAGGCAGCTGCTTCTCCCATAGCTCAACCCAGAGCCATTCCATCCAGTCCATGTCTCTTTCCCCCCAGAGCTGGGCCCAGAGGCCAGTCCCAGGGCTGCCCTGGGGCGCATTGGAATGGGCACAGTAGCATGGTTTGACCTCTTCTCTGCCTCGTTCACTTCCAGCCAATGCAGAACTCCCTGCGGGTTCTTTCCCTTCCAGACCTGTCCCCAGACAGCCCAGAGCTCCCACTCACACCGTGACGACAGCTGGGTGACTGGGCGGGCAGTGCCCCCTGCATAGATGTCCGCTCACAGCCCTTCAGTATTCCCCGGGCAGGAGTGACCCTGCATGTCTGCTTCAGCTTGAAGAGAGGCCTAGAGGAGAAGGAGCAGAAAATCACCATGCTGGAGGAAGCCAAGGCTGCAGCTCAGAAGGAGGCAGGAGAGCTGAGGGCAAACCTACGGGAGGTGGAGAAGTCTCAGATGGAGGCCCGCCGGGAGCTGCAGGAGCTGCACAGACAGGCGAGTGCAGATGGCTCCCAGACACGTGCCAGCCAGGTCCCTTTGCTGTCCCAGCTCCATCAGCCTCCATAGACACATTCTGCCCTGCACCTCCCCTACTGGGAACTTCCTGACTGCGATGCCTCCTCGTAGGCTGCCCATTTGGGCCACTGAATGGGTCCCATTCCCCTGTGGCAACCTAGATTTCAGCGCCAGGCTGAGAGGAAGAGCTGGTAGCAGCCGAAGCCACCTGGGGCATGCCCAGAAGTGCAGCTCCCAGGGAGGTGAGGGGCATCTCCCTCCCAAATGGAGACCATGCCCTGAAAACCCCTTGGGTAGAAACTGGAGGCTTCAAAGCTCCCCAGCTTCAATCCCCCAGTGCGAGGAGCAGAATGGCCTGGTCTCATCCCCCATCCCACTAGCCACAGGAGTGGCTGACTGCAGAGGGGAGCGTGCTACACAGGCCTGCTTCCCATGGGCTGCGCCAGCACCGGCCCAGGCCTGGCGGGCTGGGGAAAGGTGGCCGGAGGAGCCTGCTAGTGACGTAGAGTGAATCAGTGGGTCCCACATTGGTACTTTCCACCCTGTGGCACTTGGCCAGCTCCTCCGGGGAGGCGGAGGAACCAAACTAAGAAGGGACCATTTTGTCCATCCTCAAGCAGTTATTGCCGGGGGGAGGCAGCCCTGCCCCCGGTCAGGGCAGCAGCAGTGGCTTGCTGTGGCCGAGACGGGCCTGCCAGCATGGCCTGTCCGCCCCAGGTCGAGCCCAGGACCAACCTGAAGAACTGCCCTTTACAGGTGAAGACGCTGGGGGACGAGAACAGCAAAAAGGGCAAAGAGGTGAACGAGTTGCAGGCCCGTCTCCTGCAGCAGGAGCAGCGCGAGCAGCAGTGCCGCAGGCAGTCCCTGGAGCTGAAGCAGAGGATCGCGGAGATGGAGGGTGGCCAGGAATGTGTTCGCAAAGAGGTGAGCTGAGTAGGCACTGGAGCTGGCAGGCAGAGGCGGGCAGCGAAGGAGGGGGCAGAGAGAAAGGATGGTGTAGAGGGAAGGGTACAAGGCCATCTCTAGATTAACCCAGCTAGGCCCACCAGGCCCCTGTGGGAGACCTCAAGGACTGTCTCCCTCCCCTCCTGTTCCTTCCCATCACCCTGAGGGTGCAGCCCTGAAGCAGAGGGGAGGGCAGTCCGCTCCCTGGTGCCTGCCTGTAAACACTGCCCCGAGGTCTCCAGAGAGCGACCCAGGGCTCTCTCTGCCAGTGGGGTAGAAAGCAGCAACTCAGCCTGGGAGCCTGTGCACTGAACTGTGGGCGCTTCCGCCCTGCAGAGAGGGCTCTCTTTGGGTCTGTGCTGGGAAGCTCCTGGCCACTGTGTGTGTGTTGAGGTGGTGCGCCCCTCCTGGCCCTTTCAGCATGCTCTCTGGTGGACTGTATGCAGACAGGGCCTGGCGGTTACTCTGTAGCGCCCTCCCTTCCAGGTACTGAGCTTGCAGCGGAAGCTGTTGGAGGTGGAGTGGGAAGCCAGAGCCAGAGAGAAGGGGCTGGCCGACAGCCTGGGCGAGAGTCACAGCAAGGAGAAGAAACTCCGGGATGAGCTCCATAACATGGAGCTGAAGCTGCAACAGGCCGGCAGGGTCAGCGAAGGCCTCCAGCTGCGCCTCAGCACCACTGAGGGGCGCCTCCAAGGCCTAGAGACAGAGCTGGCCAAGGCGGAGGCTGCCAAGAGGGAGGTGGAGTTGAAGCTCGGGGTGCTGCACTCCGCCCTGCGCCGGACACTAGGGCTGGGTGGGCGGAGCCCCTCGCCGCAGAGACCCTGCTCACCTAGCAAAGGTCAGCAGCCTTGGAGGGCTCAGCTGGGTTTGGGAGACAGACTGACTGGGCCAGATCACAGAGTGCCGTGTGTGTGACTGCACTGGAGCACTGATTGCACATCACAAGAGCTGCATGACATTTCCCTAGTGCTCCAGGGTGAGGGCTGCTCTGGCGGGGTCTGTAGCTTTGCTGTGTGGGGGCAGATACAGCATAGAGGGAAAGGTGTTGCCATGGCAGTAGTCACTTTGAAGGGGAAGAGGGCGGCGCTTGAAGGACCTGAGTGTCAGGCAGCTATCCCTGCCCTGAAAGGGGAAAGCCATGGAGGGGGCAGGGGTCTGCTTGGAAATCCAACCTAGCAGTAATCTTGGGAGAGGGTGGCTCTGAATCCCTGCATGGATTATCCCCAGACTGGGCTGAGGAGAGAAGCACAGTTGTAAGGCTGTAGTGACACGCTTGCCTTGCACCAGCTAATCCGTATTGCCTCCTGCCATTATCACATGGGGATGGTCTAGGCCTGCCTGATGGTCCCTATCCCAACACACCCACCTGGCATTCAGGCTTTGATAACTTCTCTGCCACCACAGGAACTGACGGGCGACGGACTCCGGCCTCTCGCACTGGCTCTCCAGAGAGGAGCTGTTCCCGTTCCCCCTTTGGTTGGGCTTCCCCTTTCCAAGGGGAGCACAGTGCCAGTGAGCCTGACCCAGACAGAGTCCAAGATGCTTTGAGAGACTTCCTGCAGGAGCTGCGAGACACTCAGAGAGAGAGGGTAAGAGCATCTCCTTTCTGCTCCCATGGTGTCCCCCTGCCCCTCCACAAACTCCCCACTCTCTGCTCACATCCAGGCCATGCTCAGCGTCATGGTCTCTGGCAATGCTAACACAGATTTGCCCCACATCAGATTGCTGCATTAACTGAAACTAATGTACAAGGACATTAAACTCCTGTCCCTTTCAGTTAGAATGAGCCCAGAAATGAGGCCTTGGTACTGCCCAGGACTGCATGCAAGCTTTACCCTCATTCATTTAATCTCTCTGTGTAGCTTCCAATCTACGCCTTGTCCACCAAGCTCTAACCAGCACAGTCACTCCCAGTGCTGCAGTGTGGGACACAGCCCTCGGAACATGAGGCGCTGCACAAAGGGGCATGGGACTGGCACACTGGACCAGAGCAGGGCTCCAGCCAGCCTGGTGTTATGGCTCTGACAATGGCCAGCACCAGTTTCAGTAGAAGGTGCAAGAGCCCTTCAGTCTCCTTCCCTCCCCCTGTCAGTTATAGGCCAGTTCAAGCCCTGTAGCTGGAAGGTTTAGATCGTTTCTAAAACACTTGGTTATTTTTTTATTCCTTGTTATAACACTGGAGATCCTTGTTCTGAATCCTGCTGAGCTCTTGGCCTCGGTGATAGCTTTAGGCAATAGGTTCCACAGGCTCATTGCATGGAAAAATATTTACTTGGCCGCCACTGCTTGCTGAGTGTCACTGAACGCCCCCTTGTTCTGGTACTGTGGTCTGGTTGTAGGGCAAGGGCACTGGCACTGCCAGGGGGATGGTGGGATATTATTTCTCATTCTTCTCTACCCTCCCTGTATTCCATGCCTTGGCCTTCCTTCCCCGACCCTTTGTGTTACTCCTTCCCCAACTGTCTCCCTATCCCTCCCATCAGTTCTTATCCCCGGAGACAGAGGACTCTGCTCAAGAGTCACAGCACCAGGTCCACCCCTCTTTCTCTTCAGCTCTGCCTGTATGACGGGTGGGCGTAGGGAGCAGAGCAGCCATAGGAGGCATGGAAGCTGCATTCCCACCCTTGGGCTGACTCAGGGAAGAATATGGTCAGTTCACAGTGTGTCCTTCCCTGTTAGCTGCTGGGGGAGCAGAGGAATGTTGCCAAGGAATGGCACATGAGATGCCACATGCTTGAAAGCAAGTCAGGCATTGCTCACTTCTGTAGTTAGCTCAGTGCAGCCGTGCGGGATGTGTGCACAACCTGGGCAGGAAAGTGGTATGCCTTGTCAGGCCATGGAAGAGTTAAACTATGCCTTCAGACACTGCCCTCCCCACACACTCCACAGCCAGGGAGCCGACCACCCATGCAGTGCTGTGGTTTGCCAAGCTCTATCACTGGGCAAGGAGAGTCAAGGAAAGAGGACATGGAGGGGCAGGAGCACATGGAGAGCTGCATTTCCTTAGAGGATATTGCCAGCTGCTCTCTCGGCCACCCCTACAGTGTCCAGGCCTGATCTCCAGCTGCTGTAACTTGACTCGCCCCCAGCGACTCACCTCCAGCAGAGCAAGGCTGGCGACCCGCTGGGGATCTGGCCTGCTGACATCAGTAGAGCTAGGGCTGATTTACACCAGCTGGGGATCTGGCCCCATTGACTCCAGTGGAGCTAGGGCTGATTTACACCAGCTGGGGACCTGACCCCATTGACTCCAGTGGAGCTAGGGCTGATTTACACCAGCTGGGGATCTGGCCCCATTGACTCCAGTGGAGCTAGGGCTGATTTGCACCAGCTGGGGTATCAGACCCCATTGACTCCTATGGAGAGATGCTGACTGACAGCAGCTGGGGAGCTGACCACGCCAGAATGGTTGCCACCCTCTGTTTTAGCAGTGAGCCTGTCTGTGCCCCTGCAGGCATTGGGCAGACAGCTACTCAATAGCAATGGGAGCTGAACACCCTCCCCCCCACAGCACTCCGCGGAGCGTGGGACCCGTAGCAAACCATCAGGCCAGCTCAAGGACATGCTCAGTGTCACATGACCCCACCAGCTGAGCTCGACCCCAAGTTGACCTTAACAGCATTTATATAGCAATGCTCTCTGGTCCTTCAGCCCCCTCCCCTTTGGCCTTCCTCTGTTGTGTCCTATTGCTCAAAACATGATTCTTATAAAGATGCATAAATATTTATACAAGGGTAATGTAAAAAACATGGACTGTCATAATAATCAAAGCCGCGGCGCAGCCAAAGGGCTTTCTCTAGGATTGGGAAATTAATTAATACTTTATGGGTCTAAGCTATCGAGTTTGAGGCGCTCCTGCCTTCCCCATCCCATCAGGCTGCTGGGGTTTGCTGGAATCGAGGTGAGCAGCTGTGTCCAGTTGTGTCTCTCAGTGAACACAAGGGAAGATGTATTCCCTTACAGTTGAAGGAGGTTTGATGGTTTGAGTAACATTCTGTGTGTCGTTTTCATATGATTACTGTGTACAACCGTTCCTTAAGACTCCCACTGACTGGCCAAACTATCAGCCTGCACCAGTGCTCATTGACATCAATTGAAGGATTCCCATTGATTTCAGTAGGCTTCAAGTCCCACAAGTTCTACTGGGTGGTCGGCAGCAGCCCACCTCCCTATTAAAGACAAGGGGTAACATTTTCCATAGCACCTAAGGGTATGTCTACCCTACAAAATTAGGTCGATTTTATAGAAGTCAATATTTAGAAATCGATTTTATACAGTCAATTGCGTATGTCCACACTAAGCGCATTAAGTCGGCGGAGTGCGCCCTCACTACTGTGGCTAGCATCGACTTATGGAGCGGTGCACTGTGGGTAGCCATCCCACAGTTCCCGCAGTCTCCGCTGCCCATTGGAATTCTGGGTTAAGCTCCCAATGCCTGATGGGGCAAAAACCATTGTTGCGGGTGGTTTTAGGTACATGTCGTCAGTCTCCCCTCCCTCCGTGAAAGCAACGGCAGACAATTGTTTCGCACCTTTTTTCCGCACAGACGCCATACCATGGCAAGCGTGCAGCCTGCTCAGCTCAGCTCACCAACACCGCCGCTGTTGTGTCCTGGGTGCTGCTGGCAGCAGACGGTGCAGTAGGTCTGCAAACCATCGTCATACACTGCTTCCGCTGCAACTCTGCTCTGCTGCTATTGGCTCGATAGCGAATTTCTCCATGTTGTCTGTCATGGGCTCCTGGGTACGTGTGTTCTTCCTTGGAAAATGTGCGCGGTGCTAACGGTCGTCCTCCACTGCTTCCTCTGCAACTCTGCTCTCCTGCAGACGCCATACCACGGCAAGTCTGGAGCCCGCTCAGACCACCGCTGCTACTGTGAGCATTGTAAACACCTCACGCATTATCCTGCGGAATGTGCAGAACCTGCAAAAGCAGGCGAGGAGGCGACGACAGCACAATCATGATAGTGATGAGGACATGGACATAGACTTCTCTCAAAGCACGGACCCTGGCAATTTAGACATCATGGTGGTAATGGGGCAGGTTCATGCTCTGGAACGCTGATTCTGGGCCCGGGAAACAAGCACAGACTGGTGGGACCACATAATGTTGCAGGTCTGGGATGATTCCCAGTGGCTGCGAAACTTTCACATGCGTAAGGGCACTTTCATGGAACTTTGTGACTTGCTTTCCCCTGCCCTGAAGCGCAAGAATACCAAGATGAGAGCAGCCCTCACAGTTCACAAGCCAGTGGCAATAGCCCTCTGGAGGCTTGCAACACCAGACAGCTACCGGTCAGTCAGGCATCAATTTGGAGTGGGCAAATCTACTGTGGGGGCTGCTGTGATCCAAGTAGCCAACGCAATCACTGAGCTGCTGCTATCAAGGGTAGTGACTCTGGGAAATGTGCAGGTCATAGTGGATGGCTTTGCTGCAATGGGATTCCCTAACTGTGGTGGGGCGATAGACGGAATGCATATCCCTATCTTGGGACCGGACCACCTTGGCAGCCAGTATGTAAACCGCAAGGGGTACTTTTCAATGGTGCTGCAAGCACTGGTGGATCACAAGGGACGTTTCACCGACATCAATGTGGGATGGCCAGGAAAGGTGCATGACGCTCGCATCTTCAGGAACTCTGGTCTGTTTGAACAGCTGCAGGAAGGAACTTACTTCCCAGACCAGAAAATTACCGTTGGGGATGTTGAAATGCCTATAGTTATCCTTGGGGACCCAGCCTACCCCTTAATGCCATGGCTCATGAAGCCATACACAGGCACCCTGGACAGTAGTAAGGAGCAGTTCAACTATAGGCTGAGCAAGTGCAGAATGGTGGTAGAATGTGCATTTGGACACTTAAAAGCTTGCTGGCGCAATTTACTGACTAGGTGAGACCTCAGCGAAACCAATATTCCCATTGTTATTGCTGCTTGCTGTGTGCTCCACAATATCTGTGAGAATAAGGGGGAGACATTTATGGTGGGGTGGGAGGTTGAGGCAAATTGCCTGGTGGCCGATTACATGCAGCCAGACACCAGTGCGATAAGAAAGGCACAGCTGGCACCCTGCGCATAAGAGAAGCTTTGAAAACCAGTTTCATGACTGGCCAGGCTACAGTGTGACAGTTCTCTTTGTTTCTCCTTGATGAAAATCTGCCCCCTTGGTTGACTCTACTTCCCTGTAAGCCAACCGACCTCCCCCCTTCAATCACCGCTTTCAGAGGCAATAAAGTCATTATTGTTTCCAACTCATGCATTCTTTATTAATTCATCACACAAATAGGGGGAAAACTTGCAAGGTAGCCCGGGAGGGGTGGGTGAGGAGGGAAGCACCAGGTGGGGTGGTGGTTAAGGGGAGGAGGGAAGGACAAGGCCACACTACAGTTCAAAACTTATTGAATGCCAGCCTTCTGTTGCTTGGGCAATCCTCTGGGGTGGAGTGGCTGGGTGCCTGTAGCCTCTCCCCCTCCCCCCCCCCGCATTCTTGGGTGTCTGGGTGAGGAGGATATGGATCTTGGGGAGGCGGGCAGGCGGTTATACAGGGGCTTCAGTGGCAGTCTGTGCTCCTGCTGCCTTTCCTGCAGCTCCACCAGATGCCTGAGCATGTCAGTTTGCTCCCCCATTAGCCTCAGCATTGCATCCTGCCTCCGCTCAGCGTGCTCCTCCCTCCTTTCATCGCGTTCATTTAATACTGTCCTGGACTCTGCAGTTGTTTGCCTCCACGCATTCTGCTGAGCTCTTTCAGTGCAGGAGGACTGCATGAGCTCTGAGAACATCTCGTCGCGAGTGCGTATTTTTCGTCTTCTAATCTGCGCTAGCCTCTGGGACGGAGACGATGGGGGAGCGTAGAAACATTTGCAGCTGCGGGAGGAAAAAAGGGAGAGTAGAATTTAAAAAGATACATTTTAGAGAACAAAGGGAAGACTATTTCACACTGAATCAAGTGATTCACATTACATAGCACATGTGCTTTTGCTACAAGGTCGCATTTTGCCTCTTTTATTGAGGGCCTGCCGGTTTGGTGTGAGACATCACACATGCTCGGCTGGGCAACAGAATTCGGCTTGCAGCAGCCATGGTAAGGCAAAGGGTTTCGGCTTCTTCAACCTTCATAACATGTGGGAACAGTTTCAAACAGCAGCGCCCTCCTTTCCTATACCAAGCAAAGCCCGTTGGGTTGGCCATTTAAAAGGAGGGGCTGCGGTTTTAGGGTGAATGTGCAGCACAATCCAACCCCTCTCCCCCAACTCTCTGGGATGATCGCTTCACCCCCCACCGCATGGCTAGTATCAGGGAAGATCCCTGTCAGCCAAATACGAACAGCTCAGCATGAACGGGCCTCCCCCCACCGCGTGGCTAACAGCGGGAATTATTTATTTTCAGCCAAAGGCAAACAGCCAAAGCCTGGGCCCATTCGCTGCAAGGTTTTGTTCTGCAATGATTCCAGACTACTTGCTACTGGCTTGGCGTGGTAAATTAATCATTAAACATCGCTTACTTTTAAACCCTGTATTATATTTACAAAGGTACACTCACCAGAGGTTCCTTCTCCAGCGTCATGGTCCGGGAGTCCACCTTGGGAGAGTTGGGAGGGTATTGGCTACAGGGTGATGAACAGTTCCTGGCTGCTGGAGAGAAGGGATTCTCCGCTTGCCGGCTGTGCGCTATCCTCAACCTCCTCCTCCTCCTCATCTTCAAACTCCTCATCCCTGTTGCGTGAGACTCCCCCTTGTAGATGTCCATGGACAGTGGTGGGATAGTAGCAGAGGCCATGCCTAGAATTGCATGCAGCTCATAATAGAATGTCTGGGGCTCTGATCCGGAGCGACTGTTTGCATCCTTTGTTTTTTGGTAGGCTTGCCTCAGCTCCTTAACTTTCACGCGGCACTGCTGTGTGTCCCTGTTGTAGCCTCTGACCATCATGCCCTTGGAGATTTTGTCAAATATTTTGGCATTTTGTCTTTTGGAACAGAGTTCTGCCTGCACAGATTCTTCTCCCCATACAGCAATCAGATCCAGTACCTCCCGTTCGGTCCATGCTGGATCTCTTTTGCGATTCTGGGACTCCATGGTCACCTGTGCTGATGAGCTCTGCATGGTCACTTGTGCTGATCAGCTCGCCACGCTGGCCAAACAGGAAATGAAATTCAAAAGTTCGTGGGCTTTTCCTGTCTACCTGGCCAGTGCATCTGAGTTGAGAGTGCTATCCAGAGCGGTCACAATGGAGCACTCTGGGATAGCTCACAGAGGCCAATACCGTCAAATTGCGTCCACACTACCCCAAATTCGACCCAGCAAGGTCGATTTTAGCACTAAACCCCTCGCCGGGGAGGAGTACAGAAATCGATTTTAAGAGCCCTTTACATCGACAAAACAGGCTTGGTCATGTGGACGAGTGCAGGGTTAAATCGACCTAATGCTGCTAAATTCGACCTAAACTCATAGTGCAGACCAGGGCTAAGGGTACGTCTTCCTACCCGTCGTATCGGCGGGTAGCAATCGATTTATCTGGGATCGATATATCGCGTCTCGTTAAGATGCGATATATCGATCCCCGAACGCGCTCTCCGTCGACTCCGGAACTCCACAAGAGCGAGTGGCAGTAGCGCAGTCGACGGGGGAGCCGCGGCCGTCAATCCCGCACCGTCTGGACCCCAGGTAATGCAATCCAAGATACTTCGACTTCAGCTACGCTATTCGCTTAGCTGAAGTTGCGTATCTTGGATCGATCCCCCCCCCCAGTGTAGACCAGTCCAAAGTGACTTTTGAAATTGGGCTGTAGGTCACTTAGGTGCTGTGGAAAATGTTACCCCTTGTCTTTAATATGAAGGCTATAGACCCCTGCCTGCCGTACTCCATTGTGCTGCCACGTGGCCACAACAGTCAAGATGTAGCATTGCATGCTGGAACCAGGGGTCTCTGTAGGGCTCAGCTCCATACTGAAGAGGAGGATGGCTGCAATCTGTGCCATTTTGTGCAAAGTAGGTTCCCCCTTTGGGCTCCCGGCAGGGTGCCCGTGAAGCTTAGCTTGGCAAAGTTTGGGCACCTGCGGCATGGATGGCAAAGAACATAATGGAAACTAGCAGGAAATGGGGAGCTGTCTTTGGCCAGGAGACTACAGACACTCAGGGCTGTTTGTGGCCAAGAGTACAGGCTGGGTTTGATAATATTGTTCTTTTGAAGGTAACTGGATTGTGATTTGCAAACCAGCAGCCAGACTCTGCCTCCCATTACACTCCTGCTGCCGTGCTGACCTGGAGCCGGATCCTGTTTTGTTGGTTTTTTAATGATGGTTTTAATGTCATGCACTTTGGCAGCAGCTTCCATCTGAGGATATAAAGCCTTTACAAATAGTGCTGTCTGTAGCCTCGTCACAGGCTCCTGGCAAGTGGGGACACCCCCATCATACAGATGAGGAAATGGAAGCACTGAGTGGGTGGGTGAGTTGCCCAGGGTAGCAGAGCTGAGAGTAGGATTCAGGAGAGTCAGGTTCTACTTTGCTGCCCTGGACAAGTCGCCCCTCCACACGCCAGGAAGAAGAATGGGGCTGTTCGTAATCCCTGTACTTTAAGAACAAACTCATCCACCTTCCTGGTGTGCAGTGTGCGGTGGAGGTGTGGTGTGTTTTAGGTGCTGGGTATGGGATTGCTGCTGAGTCCTCCTTTCCCGTTTCCCACACTGGACTCTGGGGTGTAAATCAGGATAGATCCACAGCAGAGTCAGTTATACAGCTAAGGATCTGTTAGCACACGTTGCTTTCATTTGCTGAGCTTGGCAGTTTAGTGATGTTTAAAAATGCTCAGAAGACTTTGGGGAAGGGGACACTGAGATTAAAATGGTCCTTTGTTGGGACCATTGTGTAGACACATTTGTGTATGTGTGTGTCAGACATCACACTCACAAACTGACATGACACCAATATTTACAGGACGCCCTAGAGCTCTGGCTCCAGGGATGTTCTGATTTGCGTCAGGAAGTTCTCATTGTTAAACTTAGTGTTTCATGTACTTCCTTTTCTCCTTTCTCTTTCTCTACCTCCACCCCCCGTTGTGTCTCGGCATATTCCTCTTTCTTTCTGGCCTGCACTTAAAAATCTGACACTATTTTTCTTTCTCCCAGGATGATTTAAGGACACAGGTGATGAACTTGAACCGTCAGCTGAATGAAATGGCGAGCGACCGGGACCAGACCAGCAATCGCGTCCTGCAGCTGCAGAAGTTGCTGGCAGACTCTGAGGAAGGCCAGTCATTCTCCTCTTCTCCCCCTAGATTCCATAAGGCTCAGTTGATGCAGCTGGAGCAGACTGTCACTGGGACAGCAGGAGCACACAGGATCAACTCTCCTCTCGTGTCAGAAGGGGCTAGCTGGTCAGGCAGAACTGGAGAGGTTCTAGTTTGGGATTAAACAGTGATGCCAGGCAAGCCCTGATCTCCTGGCCAGGATGCAGCCATCCCAACCTGAGGGATGGAGGGGGGGTGTGACTAGAAGGTTAGCTACAGGTGTAAAGCTACAGGGGCTTGCCAAAAACAGCTCCTGTGACCAGAGCCCAAGAGTCATGCGACCATAAGAAAGCCACTTCTGCTATCAGTGCCTCTTTTTGCCCTCCCAGCCTTTATCCATAGGGACTGCAAGCTCCCGACCTTGGGGCAAGGCCAGTCTCTCTTTGGCTTCCTGATGTGGTCAGCCCTGCCTTGCCGCTTGGAGTCCAGGGCTGGGTTCCTGGCACATGGCTCCTTTGGGGTGATGTCCCCATGCACTGATGCAGCAACCCTTAGATCCAGTGAACTCGCTGTTCACATGTAGCTCGGGGACTCCAGGAGGCTGGGTGATGGCTTGGCTGGATTGCACCCCCAGCCATCACAGAGATCCACTGGGGAAGCAGTGCTCTTCTCCCTCCCACAGATCAGAGCCCGTTCCTCAAACCCCTGCCTCTCCTTTCCCATACCCAGGCAAGCGAGGCATGGACGGGCACCTGAGCAGTGCGCAGATGGCCCTGGCACTGCAGGAAGAGACCATTCGGAGAGTGGAGAGGGAGCGCCATGCATTGGCAGAGCAGATTGCTACCCTGGAGTGCAGCATACATGCCAGGGAGGAGAAGAACAGGGAGCTGCAGGTGGGTCTGAGCCTGCAAGGAGAAGGAGTAGGAAGTGCATGTTACGGGGCAGCCACCCGTTAGGAAACAGGGAGGGGGAGCTCTGTAAAAGTCACTAGTGGAAAGGGAGAGTCATAAGAACATAAGAATATAAAAACGGCCATACTGGGTCAGACCAAAGGTCAGTCTAGCATAGTATCCTGTCTTCTGACAGTGGCCAATGCCAGGTGCCCCAGAGGGAATGAACAGACCAGGGAACCATCAAGTGTTCCATCCCCTGTGGCCCATTCCCAGCTTCTAGCAAACAGAGGCTAGGGACACCATCCCTGCCCATCCTGGCTAATAGCCATTGATGGACCTATCCTCCTTGAATTTATCTAGTTCGTTTTTGAATCCTGTTATAGTCTTGGCCTTCACAACATCCTCTGGCAAAAAGTTCCACAGGTTGACTGTGCGTTGTGTGAAAAAATACTTCCTTTTGTTTTAAATCTGCTGCCTATTAATTTCATTTGGTGGCTCCTAGTTCTTGTGTTATGAGACAGAGTAAATAACACTTCCTTATGCACTTTCTTCAGACCAGTCATGATTTTATAGACCTCTATCATATCCCCCTTTAGTTGTCTCTTTTCCAAGCTGAAAAGTCCCAGTCTTATTAATCTCTCCTCATACGGCAGCCGTTCCATACCCCTAATCATTTTTGTTGCCCTTTTCTGAACCTTTTCCAAGTCCAATATATCTTTTTTGAGATGGGGTGACCAAATCTGCACGCAGTATTCAAGATGTGGGCGTACCATGGATTTATATAGAGGCAATATGGTATTTTCTGTCTTATTATCTATCCCTTTCTTAATGATGCCCAACATTCTGTTTGCTTTTTTGACTGCCACTGCACATTGAGTGGATGTTTTCAGAGAACTATCCACAATGACTCCAAGATCTCTTTCTTGAGTGGTAACAGCTAATTTGGACCCCATCATTTTATATGTATAGTTGGGATTATGTTTTCCAATGTGCATTACTTTGTATTTATCAACATTGAATTTCATCTGCCATTTTGTTGCCCAGTCACCCAGTTTTGAGCTATCCTTTTGTAGCTCTTCACAGTCTGCCTGGGACTTAACTATCTCGAGTAGTTTTGTATCATCTGCAAATTTTGCCATCTCACTGTTAACCCCTTTTTCCAGATCATTTATGAATATGTTGAATAGGACTGGTCCCAGTACAGACCCCTGTAGGAATCACTATTTACCTCTCTCCATTCTGAAAACTGACCTTTTATTCCTACCCTTTGTTTCCTATCTTTTAACCAGTTACCAATCCATGAGAGAACCTTCCCTCTTATTCCATGACTGCTTACTTTGCTTAAGAGCTTTTGGTGAGGGACTGTAGAAGGGTTCGGTTGGGGTCACCCCTCTCTGGGGCGGCTGTGAGCCAGTCTGCCTCACTACTTAGGTCCAGTGAGTCGGGGAATTAGCCGGGTGAGGCAGGAAACAGTCAAGGGCTCAGGCCCTAAGGCAGGGGCTGAGCAAATAGTTCAGGAACAAGCCCAGGCCCTGGGTCAGGGCGGGACAGCAAACAAGCAGAAGCCCAAAACTCAGGCTCCTGGTTCTGAGCATCTGGGCGAGGGGGAGACTGCCACCCGTGAGTGGGGTGGCAGGGGGGACGCAGGCCGCCCACTCCACTGCATCCCAGCCCAGGGCCCTAACAGCGGCAGGCGGCTTGCTGCTGTGTCAGTGGGGATCCTGGCCGCAACACACTGACATCGGCTCTGGGTGTGCCACAGCCAGACTAGGGTCGGCTTCCCCCAGGCTACTTCCTACCTCCCCCCTAGCAGTACCTGTGTCTGGTCGGTGTCCTCCATGGCATCAAGCACCATGGGCTCCTCAGGGTACTCGGAGAGCGGTAGACTTGGCAGCTCCTCTGGGTCGCTTCCCACAGGTAGGCTTAACAGCTTCTCCGGGGTCTGGTCACCATCAGGTCTTGACTGGTATGGCCAGTCCTCTGGTCGGTCATAGGCTACAGGAGTCTCCCCAGCGGGAGCTAGGCCCCCAGCGTCTGGCTTCTCCGGCGGCCAGGCAGCTTCTGAGCGGAGGGGCTCGTCCCTCTCTGGGGCGGCTGGGAGCCAGGCCACCTCACTACAGGGACCTTATCAAAGGCTTTCTGAAAATCTAAATACACTATATCCACTGGATCCCCCTTGTCCACATGCTTGTTGACCCCCTCAAAGAATTCTAGTAGATTGGTGAGACATGATTTCCCTTTACAAAAAACATGTTGACTCTTCCCCAACAAATTATGTTCATCTATGTGTCTGACAATTTTGTTCTTTACTGTACTTTCAACCAGTTTGCGTGGTATGGAAGTCAGGTTTACCAGCCTGTAATTGCTGGGGTTACTTCTGGAACCCTTTTTAAAAATTGGCGTCACATTAGCTATCCACCAGTCATTTGGCACATAAGATGATTTAAATGATAGGTTACAGATGACAGTTAGTAGTCCTGCAATTTAGCATTTGAGTTCCTTCAAAACTCTTGGGTGAATACCATCTGGCCCTGGTGACTTATTACTGTTAATTTATCAATTTGTTCCAAAACCTTCTCTAATGACACCTCAGTCTGGGACAGTTCCTCAGATTTATCACCTAAAAAGCATGGCTCAGGTTTGGGAATTTCCCTCACATCCTCAACCATGAAGACTGATGCAAAGAATTCATTTAGTTTCTCCGCAATCTGCTTATCATCCTTGAGTGCTCCTTTAGCATCTCGATCATCCAGTGCCCCACGGGTTGTTTAGCAGGCTTCCTGCTTCTGATGTAATTTTAAAAATTTTTGCTATTACTTTTTGAGTCTTTGGCTAGCTGTTCTTCAAATTCTTTTTTGGCCTTCCTAATTATATTTTTACACTTCATTTGCCAGAGTTTATGCTCCTTTCTATTTTCCTCATTAGGATTTAACTTCCACTTTTTAAAAGATGCCTTTTTGCCTCTCTCTTATACAGGGTAAACTCATAAATTGTCAGCCCTCTATATCACTGATAGAGAGATATGCACAGCTGTTTGCTCTCCCAGGTATTAATCACTTACTCTGGGTTCATTAATAAACAAAAATGATTTTATTAAGTATAAAAAGTAGGATTTAAGTGGTTTCAAGTAATAACAGACAGAACAAAGTAAGTTATGAAGGAAAGGAAAGCAAAAACAAGCCTAATACATTAAGAAACTGATTACAGGTAATATCTCACCTTCAGAGATGTTCCAATAAGCTTCTTTCACAGACTAGACTCCTTCCTAGTCTGGGCCCAATCCTTTCCCCTGGTACAGTCCTTGTTAGTTTCAGCAGACATCTCAGGTGGTAACTAAGGGTTTACTCATGACTGGCAGCCCCCTTTGTTCTGTTCCACCCCCTTTTATAGCTTTGGCACAAGGCAGGAATCTTTTGTCTCTCTGGGTCCCAACCCCTCCTTCTAAATGGAAAAGTACCAGATTTAAGATGGATTTCAGCATCAGGTGACATGGTCACATGTCCCTGTGAGACCACATTCTTCATTACCCATGGGCTGGCCCACACATATGCAGGAAGGCTTGCAGGTAAATAAACCCATTCACAGTTCATTGATTCTGAAGCACCCTTAATGGCTTCCACTTAATATGTTTACATCAATAATACAAGTTTATATCTTATTCTCCTAACTCCAGACATAGAAATAATACATGCAAACAAATAGGATGAACACACTCAGTAGATTATAAGCTTTGTAGTGATACCTTACAAGAGAACTTTTGTATAAAGCATATTCCAGTTACATCATATTCACATTCATAAGCATATTTTCATAAAGTATATGGAGTGCAATGTCACATCCCCTTTTTGAAATTAAATGCTATTGTGTTGGGCCGCTGTGGTGTTTTCCCCACCACAGGGATGTTAAATTTAATTATATTATGGTCACTATTACCAAGCGGTCTAGCTATATTCACCTCTTGGACCAGATCCTGTGCTCCACTTAGGACTAAATCAAGAATTGCCTCTCCTCTGGTGGGTTCCAGGACCAGCTGCTCCAAGAAGCAGTCATTTAAGGTGTCAAGAAACTTTATCTCTGCATCCTATCCTGAGGTGACATGTACCCAGTCAATATGGGGATAGTTGAAATCCCCCATTATTATTGAGTTTTTTATTTTAATAGCCTCTCTAATCTCCCTGAGCATTTCACATCACTATCACCATCCTGTTCAGGTGGTTGGTAATATATCCCTACTGCTATATTCTTATTATTCAAGCATGGAATTACTATCCATAGAGATTCTATGGTACAGTTTGGTTCATTTAAGATTTTTACTTCATTTGATTCTACACTTTCTTTCACATATAGTGCCACTCCCTCACCAGCATGACCTGTTCTGTCCTTTCGATATATTTTGTACCCTGGTATTACCGTGTCCCATTGATTATCCTCATTCCACCAAATTTCTGTGATGACTATTATATCAATATCCTCAGTTAATATATCAATATCCTCAGTCCAGCTCAGGTCTGCGTGGGCAAGCAGAGCGCAATCTGCTACACTCCCTGGAACAGTGACAGGGATGGATGCGTGGGAGACTGCTCCATGGCTCCCTCCTCCATTGCCCAGGACAAGACAAGGTTCTGCTGCACTGCTCGGGAGGGGTGGAGGGAGGGCTGCAGACGTTCTCAGTGCACATCCTAGAGCTGAGCCATTTCCCAGGGCCATGGAAGCTCCAGGGCGCTTGGGAACAGCAGATGAGTAGGGGGACCAGTCTGCAGGGCATGGCCATTAAAGGAAACGGGCTGCCCATCAAAGAGCCAGGCCCCTTTACTGAGGGAGGAGCCAGCAGGGTACGTGCCCTGCCTGGACAGTGAGACTCACGACACCCTCAGTGCCTGCGCCTGCCAGGCAGGACCCCACTCTATATCCAGCTGCCTGCTGCTGCTTCTCTCTCCGTGGTCTGGGAAGTGGGGGCTCACCAGTGCTCACTGGCTCTGCTCCTACCTTGGAGTCTGGGTCTTGTCCTGGATGACTCCTAGGGATCAGCTGGCCTTCAGAGACAAACGTGCTTCTCTAGGGAGCGCAGAGACCCCTGGAGTGCCTCCAGACAGGGCTCATCCATACACCTTTATTCCCGGGCAGGTGACACGGCTCCAGGCCAGGTTTACACCTCTGTAGAGCCCCACAGGCACCAGCTGCTGTGGGCTAGCTAAACCGGTGCCACCTCACACTATTAGTTGCCCTGGTACTGTTCTGTGTGTAGAGCAGGCCCTGGTGATTGCTCCCACTCCAGAGCTGCCAGGCTGCCCAGGACAGGGCCATCACAGCCCCCAGAACTCCACGGAGCAGCCAGTCCTGGCAAATTCCCCTTCCTGTTATCACCAGTCACACTGGGAGCCTGATTCCCACCCAGCGCTCCCCTTGATCTGTCTCTTCCCATCTTGCCCCCCATACCCTGCGCCACTACACAATCACACACCTTCTACCAATCTCTAGGCTCCACACAAGACCAAGAACCCTCCTAATATAGCACCCGGGGCTGTCCCTGGACAGCACTGGGACGTGGGCCAGGCTATTAGGCTAGTTCAGGGGGTGTGCCGCTGGCTTTTAACTGGGCATAGGGTGACCAGACAGCAAATGTGAAAAATCAGAACAGGGGATGGGGGGAATAGGCACCTCTATAAGAAAAAGACCCCAAAATCAGGACTGTCCCTATAAAATCGGGACATCTGGTCACCCTAACTGGGCACGCGTTAAAAAGAGTGTGGCGGAGCAGTGCACAGGGTAGGGAGCTGGCCTGTGGCGGGGAGGGAGCAGGCCAAAGCAGGTCAGGGGAATCATGTGGTGGGGGGGGGGGGCAGGCATGTGGGGGGAGTGGGACAGGCTGACACAGGGAGTGGACAGCATGAGAGGGGAGAGAAGTTGTGCGAGCGGGGAGTGTGAGCCAGTTCGCGAGGAGGGAGTACGCGTGTGAGTGGGGAGCGTGATGGGCTGGTGCATGTGGGGGGCGGGAGCAGGTGCACGATGGGGGAGTATGATGGGCTGGCGCATGAGGGGGAGCAGGCGCGCGAGCAGGGAGCATGGAGGGGCGGGCCGGCATGTGAGGGGGGAGCAAGCATGTGAGCAGGGAGTGTGGAGGGATGTGTTGGCGTGCGAGCAGGGAGTATGGGGTGGGCGACGTGCAAGCAGGGAGCATGGAGGGGCGGGCTGGCTGGTGTGTGTGAGGGGGGAGCAGGCATGGAGAGCGTGGCGGGACGTGCGAGGGGGGAGCAGGCGCAGGAGTGGGGAAGGGCGGGCCGGCACGTGAGCGGGAAGTGTGGAGGGGCGGGCATGTGAACGGGGACCGTGGAGGGGCAGGCTGGCATGCGAGGGGGGAGCAGGCATGGGGAGCAGGCACAGGAGTGTGGAGGGATGGGCTGGCACCCGAGGGAGGTGGGGTGGGGCAGCGCACGAGCAGGGAGCGTGGCAAGACTGGGCGGGACAGTGCATGGGGGGGGAGCAGGTGCACGAGCAGGGAGCGTGGCAAGACTGGGCGGGACAGTGCATGGGGGGGGAGCAGGTGCACGAGCAGGGAGCGTGGAGGGGCGAGCCAGCATGTGACGGGGGAGCAGGCGTGTGAGTGGGGAGCATGGAGGGGCAGGCTGGCACGCAAGCGGGGAGCGTGGAGGGCCGGGCCGGGCCGGCGCAAGAGGTGGAAGCGTGGAGGGGCGGCCCAGGTCAGCACGCAAGGGGAGTGTGGAGGGGCAGGCCAGTGCACGCACAAGCGGGGAGGGGTTGGCCAGCACGTCGTGGGGACCGTGGAGAGACGGGACGGCGCATGAGAGAGTAGCACGCTGCAGGCAGTGGTGGAAAGGATGATACATGTTGCTGAAGTGGTCGCCTTTGTTTTTCAGGAGAAGGTCACTAGGCTGAAAGCCAAGGATACCAAGCTGGAGACAGACAAGCGGAGGCTGAAGGAAGTCCTGGAGGCAGCTGAGAGTAGGGCCACCAAGCTGGAGCTGAGCCGTCGCTCCGTGGAAGGGGAGCTTCAGCGTGTCCAGCTCAGCCTGGTGGACCGAGATACCGAGATCCAGGCCCTGCAGGAGCAGGTCCAGTCCCTGCGCTGCCAGTTGGGGGACAGCGAGAGCAAATCAGCCAAGCTGCAGCAGGAGCTGGGCCGCCTGGGTCACTCACTGGCCCAGACAGAGGACAAGGAGAGCCACCTGAAGGACAAGGTGCAGAGCCTTTCCCAGGCACTGACTGATGCCTCCACGGGGTCCTCCACCCTTCAGGAGAACGTCTTCCAGCTGCAGAAGGCTCTGACAGCAGCGGAACAAGACCGCCGGGTGCTCCAGGTAATGGTCCCACCCCTTTTCCTCAGCACTGGGCGAGCAGACAATGTAGGGGTGGGACTGAGCAGGGGAAAAGGGGTCAGTGCAGCCTCTGGCCCTTTGGATACAGTCAGGAAGGCCGTTCCACCTGCTGAGCCCACCTGTGTACATCCCAGTGGGGTCCAGTCCACCCCACAAACACCCCGTGCTGCAGGATGCACCATGCCCCACCAGCCTGAACAGGGGCTTGTAAACACTCCCTTTGGTTCCAATGCACTGCGGTTTGCCCAGCCCAAATATTGCAGCAGTTTGGAACAAACCAGTGTTTGGGTGAAGCATGGCCCAAGGGGAAGCTGCCCTGTTCAGAGATCACAGGGACGCCAGCTGGCTGCAGGACCCCCCAGGAGGAAGTTTGCAGGCCTGAGTTGGGAGGTCAGACTAAATAGGCAGAATGGGACCTTTCAGCCTGGAAATCCACAAACCTGTGGATTTAGCATGTTGTCAGCGCAGCCCTGTAATCAGCCTAGCCTGCTTGGGGCTGGGCCCTGGCTCTCCTCCATGGCTGCAAACATTAGCAACCCTTTCAGCCAGCTTGGCCTGAGGTTTGAGTTGGTGCACAGCATAACCCGGGTCCCAGTAAGATGGTAATGCTGTCCATGCTGTTCCTCTTCTGTGGGGTGATGTGTTGTCAAGCTAGAGCTGCCATCAGCAATCCATTGCAAAGAAAAAGGGAGCTGTGCATCCAGATCAATTCCAGCCGGTACATTCCCCTCCAGAGCCACAATGTGCCATCCACAGCTCTGGAATCCCTGCAGAGAGTTCATCCACACAGCTGACCTTGAGGGAGTTACTGTGGTGTTTTGCCAGCGTGAGCACAGACTCAGACTCAGGATATAAGCGCAGATGGCTGAGAGGTCGGGGCTGTCTCTAGGGGCTCGGAGCCTGTGGTCGCTGGTGTGACTGGCATGCAGAGCTAGCTAGAAAGAGAGTAACTCCCTGGCCTGCCCCCAGTCCCTGCTGATCCTTCTGGGAACACAGGCTCTTGGCTGGCAGTAACTCAAGTCTTCAGCTGACACTTTTCAGTCCAAGATGAATGGCTAAAAGAGGTGATCTCCATCCCTGATGTGAGCTGGGCGAGGCCCATGACTATCGACGTGAGCTGTTCATGGAGGATTCAGCAGGCCTGTGTGCACCCACACTTAGCTACAGAGCGGTACATCCCACAGGCTCTTCTGGACCCTGGATTCCCAGCTGATGAAGGCTGTAGTCTTTCCTCTTGGGGCTGGACCTCACCATTGTTATCTACGTGTTTGACCCCTCAGCAACCTGCTTTCTCCTGTATATGTGCAGTGCCATGCACACCCATGGCACTGCCTCATCGAGAAAAATAAGAGCATAAGAACAGCCATACTGGGTCAGACCAAAGGTCAGTCTAGCACAGTATCCTGTCTTCTGACAGTGGCCAATGCCAGGTGCCCCAGAGGGAATGACCAGAACAGGGAATCATCAAGTGATCCATCCCCTGTCACCCACTCCCAGCTACTGGCAAACAGAGGCTAGGGACACCATCCCTTCCCATCCTGGCTAATAACCATTGATGGACCTATCATCCATGAATTTATCTAGTTCTTTTTTGAACTGTGTTATTGTCTTGGCCTTCACAACATCCTCTGGCAAAGAGTTCTACAGGTTGACTGTGCGTTGTGTGAAAAAATACTTCCTTTTGTTTGTTTTAAACCTGCTGCCTATTAATTTCATTTGGTGACCCCTAGTTCTTGTGATATGAGACAGAGTAAATAACACTTCCTTATGCACTTTCTCCAGGCCAGTCATGATTTTATAGAGCTCTAGCATATCCCCCTTTATTCATCTCTTTTCCGAGCTGAAAAGTCCCAGTCTTATTAATCTCTCCTCATATGGCAACCGTTCCATACCCCAGTCATTTTTGTTGCTCTTTTCTGAACCTTTTCCAATTCCAATATATCTTTTTTGAGATGGGGTGACCACATCAGCACACAGTATTCAAGATGTGGGCGTACCATGGATTTATATAGAGGCAATATGATATTTTCTGTTTTATTATCTATTCCTTTCTTAATGATTCCCAACATAGTTATAATGAAACTATGCCAATTCATCCCAGCTGGGGACCTGGCCCATAGGCTCCAATGGAGCGACACCGAATCACCCCAGCTGGGCACCTGACCCATAGTCTCCAGTGGATAGATGCTGAGTCACCCCAGCTGGGGACCCGGCCTATAGACTCCAGTAGAGCAACGCCAAGTCATCCCAGCTGGGGACCTAGCCCATAAACTCCAGTGGAGCAAAGTCGAGTCACCCCAGCTGGGGACCTGGCTAATGGGTAGGGATCTGGCCAATAGCTGGGGACTTGGCCCGTAGCTGGGGATCTGGCCTATCATATATTTACAATGACAGAGCTCTGTACTGGGATACATAATACATATATCTTGTTGCACATGCCAGCTAACACGTGCAGAGCATTAAGAACAGGCAGAGCTGAGGTAGCAGTCAGTTCCTGGATTCTGAATGCTTCCTCTGAGTGACCCATTCCTTTCTCAGGAGCGCTTGGACTCCGTGCGGCAGGCGCTGTCAGACAGCAAGAGGCAGAACCACAGCCTGACGGACACCATGCGCATGCTGCAGGACCAGCTGGGAGAGCTGGAGTTGAGGTGCAGGGAACTGGAAGCTCAGGTCAAGCACCTACAGGAGGTGAGTGGGGGAGAGAGGAAGGATGGCCTTGAGCTAAAGGCCCTAGACGCAGCTCAGGAGATCTGATTTCAAGTCCCTGCTCTGCCACAGATTCCTGTGCGCCCTTGGGTGAGTCACTTAGCCTCTCTAGGCCTCAGTTCCCCCTCATAATATTGCTTCCTTTACCTGTTTAGATATGGGACATGTGTACAGCACCTCGTACAGGGGGCCCTGATCCTAGTCGAGGAACCGGGCAGTGTATATAATTCCCGAGGAGCAGCTGGAACATAGCAAGGGGGGGAGTGCCAACAAGGAGCAGAAAGAAGATGGGAGGAGAGGAAAGAGCTCAGACCCTCCCATCCAGCTAAGTAGGGTCAGCATCTGGATGGGAGCCCTCCAAGTAACCCTGCTGTGGGAAATGAGACTGGTGACTCAGGAGATAGCACGCCTTCCTCTCAGTTAGTTAAGCAAATATCCTCCCATGAGGCAGAGGGCCCTTTGCCACTGAAGAGACTGGGCTCTCATTGAGACACAAAACTGTGGCCCCAAGTACTTGTGTGCATTAATGACCCTACATCCCTTTTACAAGAGGAGGGGAGTTAGCTTCAGTGGAGGGGCCTAATTGCAGCTGGGGGAAGTAGATGTTGGCTAGTGCCGTTTCAGCTGCATAGAGTAGTCTTCACTTCCCACAAGCCTGTTGTGTAGTGTAGCTCTAGGCTGTTAACCAGCTGCTGTGTTCTGCCCCAGATGTGCTGACCCTTTTACCAGGTTGTCTAGGCAGCACCCCCTTTTGTGGCGCATCAAGACATAACTCACTCCAGTGCAGGTCTCCAGTGGTCAGGTGTTGCCCCTCCTGGAACTGATGCCATGGTGCCTTCAACCCCCTCCTATGGCACACTGAAGTCTTATCCTTTCTGGTGTGTGAGAGTCCAAAACGAAAAAGAAAACAGTGCACTTCAAAACCAGGGCTCCACCCTTCTGGTCTGGGCTTGTCTCCCTGAGGCTGGTCCCTTTTTGTCAGTCTGCCTGGCTCTGGTCGTCCTGTCCACCACATGGCTCCTCCATGCCACAAGCTGCCTTAGGCTCTCGTCTGTAGCTGGTGCCGTCCCCAAGGAAACATCAGATCTCTACTCTCCTTCCCGGGGCTAGGTCTCTTCCACCTTTCAGCTCTTCTCTCCACATCTGCCATTGGTTGCAGGTATAGCAGGATGGGGTCAACTGGGTCCACAGGCTCTCCTTAACCCTGTCATTGCCAGTTTGGGGCCTGTCTGCCCCATCACAGCTTCCAAGACACAAGAGAAGTAACAGCTGTTTATACAATGGTTAGTAAAACCCTGTGGGATGAAAGGGGCTATATACATGTAGGGTGTTATTTAATTACGTATTGGTTATCATGTATTTATTTATTATGGGAAAGAAGACAGCAAAAGATGGAATAGAAAAAACAGCAAGAGGAAGCAAGATAGAGACACAAATGTAGACTGGTAGGGACTGTGGTTTCAGCTGTGTGGTGTAAATCTTGTTGAATTATTCCAGATTTACATTGCTGGACTGAGAGCAGAATTGGGCCCACAGAGAAAAAGTCGAGAAGAGAAACCAGATATACAAATATTGAGGGAACCACAAAGCCGTCCTCTCTGAAACTGTTGGGACCCATTTTCTGGTGGTGTAAATTGGCACGGTTCTTCTTCAAGTGATTGCTCATATCCATTCCAATTAGGTATGTGCGTGCTGTGTGCACAGTCATCAGAAAGTTTTTCCCCTAGCAGCACCCATTGGGTCAGCTATGGAGCCTCCAGGAGTGGCACCTTCATGGCGCTTGTAGCAGGGTGGTCACCCCGCTCCTGCCCTGAAGGGCTTAAAACAGCCCTGTGAGAGGGCTGTGGCAGGGGAAAAGCTGGGCTGATTGGGGGAAGCAGCCACAGTTGGGACCACGCCCCAATCAGGCCACAGGTGGCCCCTATAAGAGGGCTGAGGGCCAGAGGCTGAGACAGAGTCTCTCTCTAGCTTCTATGAGAGAAGGGCTTGGCTGTCTGGGAGCTGAGAAGGGTACCTAGGGTGGAGCAGTACTGGGGAAGGGCAAAGTGAGCTGAGGAGCTCCAGCCTAGTGAAACCCAGGCTGCAGGCCTCGTCAAAGGCCTACAAAGGTTACTGGAGCTGCAAAGGGGCAGCCCATAGGTAGGCAAAGGCAGCCGGTCCAAATCCCCTTGCCAATGATGAGTGGTTTATAGACTTCAGTCTGCCCCAGTGAGCAGGGGCTAGATGATGATTGACCGTAGCCACTGAGGCAAGGTGGGGATAGAGGGTTGGGGGTTCCCCTGGGTGGGGAGACCCAGATGGTGGGTTACTGCTGGGGCCGAACCCTGACGTAGAGGAGCACCGGGGTCCAAGAGGGACACGGGGGCCAACGGCAGGTGAGACACCGGCCTACAGAAGGCGCTTCGGGCTGGAAGAGCTAATTGCCAGGACGACCAGCAGGAGACGCCATGCTGGTGAGTCGTCGCCCCACCACCGCACTCAATATATGACCCTGCTGTCCCGGTACCTCCTCGGTTCCTTCTTACCACCAGTGATGGTCGTTGGAACTATGGCGTCTTGCTTAGCAAGTTCTCCATGTTTCCCTAGCTCTTGTTTTTCTCGTTGTTTCTTACATCTTTTTACTTAGTTTATTTTAGCAGTAGTTTGTAGCAGTTGGGCTGAGGTGGGGTTACCGTCTATCCCGACCACTTTTTCTTGGGAGGGCTTTCATGCCCAAGTCCCAGGGGTTCAAGCCCTGCAAGTCCTGCTCCAAGCCCATGCCAACGGGCGACTCCCACGACACTTGTCTGAAGTGTCTGGGGGAGGCTCACCAAACTGATCGGTGCAGGATTTGTAAGGGGTTTTGCCCCAGAAACAAAAAGGAGCGAGACTTTCGCCTTAAGCAGCTCCTTATGGAGGTGGCACTTAGACCTCAGCCTCCTTCAGTGCTGCAGGACCCGGCACCAAGTTCTTTGGTACATAGCACCCTGGCAGCAGTGGTGGAAGTGACACCACTGACAGACTGTAGCAGAGAACTGCAAACCACCACTCCCCGGCACCGAAACCAGCAGGATCGAACCAGCACCACTCCCACTCCCCGGCGCAGAAGCAGCACCAGAAGCAAGGGAGGAGTGGCTCTCCATCCCAGAGGCCCACCCCTCTGGAGCCAGCCAATTGGGTGTGTCCTTGTGAGGAGCACCCAGTGCCTAAGCCTGCGGAGATGGCACCGTTGACTTCGGCCCTGCAAGGGGGACCGTCGAGTCCGGTGCCGTTGGACTCCCCGGCCCACATCATCGAGGAGTTGGCGCTGCCATCCACTCTGGACACCTTTTCGGCAGTGAGGGACCTCATCGCCATGACAGCGCTGAGGTCACCTATGATTCATGCCAAGCCTCCAGTACCACATCGTATGGCACCATCTCGAGGCAAACCAGTGATGATCCGGCTGTCGGCACCACTGATTGAGTCCCAGCAATGCTTGGAGTCCCGGCGCCGCTTGCAGTCGCAGCACTGGTTGGACTCACGGCACTGATTGGACTCACAGCACCGCTCCAGGTTGCGCCAGCACTCCTGATCGCGACGCCGATCCGCACATTGGTCCCCTTCGGGAAGCAGGTCCTGGACCCGGCAACGGTCCCGATGTCGCTCAACGACCCTGTGTAGCTCCAGGTCACGGCACCGCTCCCCACCCTTGCGGCACCACTCTCCAGCTCACCTCTACTTGGCTCAACCCTGGTCCTTGCAGTCCCGATCCCGGTCCTTGGAGGTGGAATCTAGGTACTTGGAACGGGACCAGCATTGGTTCGGCCGTGGACGCTCTGAGGTGGGGGAAGGACCGTGGCCTGTGCAGTGGCAGGGACCAGCGCAGTGGCCATTTTGGATCCCGTGGGCGAACCACTAGGCCCAGGGCACCCAGTCTAAAGGCTCCCAATCAGCCACCTCTGAACCAAGGGTGCCGGAGGCCTCAGCCAGTTGCCCCACCCCTAGGGGTGCTGAGGAGGCACCATGCCCTTGTCCCCCCTTGGAACCAACTCCAACTCCGGTTCCTGAGCCTGGGGCTACCAGCGACGCAGGTTGTCAGGCTCCTGATGAGCAGAAGGGGAGGGAGGATCCTGTTCCCCCATTATCCTCTTCGTCCTCCTCCCCAGACGAGGCCATGGCAGGCACTTCCATCTCTGGACCGCCTCCTGTAGACAGCCGCACCCACTAAGACCTCCTGCGCAGGGTGGCACGCAACATGGGCCTGCAGGCCGAGGAGGTGGTGGAGTCAGAGGACCCGGTGGTCGACATTTTGGCCCCAGAAGGTCCTTCGATGGTGGCTCTGCCCCTCATCAAAACTATACAGGCCAATGCCAAGACTATCTGGCAGACTCCGGCTTCCGTCCCTCCCACAGCCAAGGGCGTCAAGAGGAGGTATTTTGTGCCCTCAAAGGGGTACAAATAACTCTTTACGCACCCGCAGCCCTGTTCATTGGTGGTTGCGGCTGTAAGTGAGAAAGAGGGGCAGCAGGCCCCAGTGCCCAAGTCCAAGGAGTCCAAGTGTCTGGACTTGTTTGGGCATAAAGTGTACTCTACAGGAGGGGGTCCAGCACAGAATTGCCAACCAGCAGGCAATTCTGAGCCGATATAACTTCAACTCCTGGAACTCGATGCTCAAGTTCAAGAGCTTGTGCCAACTGAATCCAGGGAGGAGTTTGGGGCCATAGTAGAGGAGGGCACGGACCTCTTTACAGGCCTCACTGGACGCTGTGGACTCGGTGGCGCACACCTTGTCCTCAGGTATTGCCATGAGGTGCACCTCATGGTTGCAGGCCTCGGGTCTTCAGATGATGCAGGACCTGCTTTTTGATGGGGCAGGCCTGTTCACAGAGCAGACTGCTGCATAACCTAAAAGACTCAAGGGCTACTATGAAATCTTTGGGTATACACATCCCAGCAACCCAACACAAGCATTTCAAGCCCCAACAGCAGCAGCAGCACTCCTACCCTCCTCAGCCGAGGCT